CCTTTAAGAAGTATGTAATTCTCTGATAAAAGTCAGTGCCTGTTATTTCAGGAGGTGATAGGTCCTAGGGAGAAAAGTAATTGAAGCTTGTTCTGATATTTATTACACCTATTAAGAATGCATTTGACTGCTAACCAGAAGGCTGAAGTTTCAAACCCACCAGCCGCTCCTCGGAAGGAAGACTGGCCAATCTACTTCTGTAGAGATACTGCCTCAGAAACCCAAGGAGGGGTTGCTGTGAGTTGGGTCCAGCTTGACGGCAATGAGTTTATTAAGAATGTAAAAGGAGCCCTGGTGGGATAGTAGATAAGGCATCCGTCTGCTAACCAGAAGGTCAGTGGTTCAAACCAACCAGCCACTCTGTGGAAGGAAGATGGGGTGATTTATTTACCCAGTGGAGGTCACTATGAGTCAGAAGTGCCTCAATGGCATTGAGTTTGGCAGTAAGAATGTAGGAGCTCTGGTGGCACAGTGCCTAAGGCATTTGACTACTAACCAGAAGGTTGGTGGTTCAAACCTACCAGCCACTACACAGAAGTAAGACAGGGCAATCTACTTCTGTAAAGATTTACTGCCTCAGACCCAGTGGGGGTCACTCTCAGTTGGAAATGACTAGATGATAGTGAGTTTGTGTTGTTTTTTGTTTGTTTGTTTTTTGTTTCATTTCGAGCCAAGAGTATTTATGTTGTTGTTGTTGTTGTTATGTGCCGTCGAGTCGCCCCGACTCATAGCGACCCCTCCTTGGGTTTCCGAGGCAGTATCACTACAGAAGTAGGATTGCCCAACCTTCCTTCCGAGGAGTGGCTGGTGAGTATTTATAGCTTCTATATAAATTGTAAAAGACATTTTAACTTTAGGGCCTGTGGTGATAAATTATAAATTTTGTTACCTTGTCGTCAGAAATACAACCTTATTAGAAGTGGATAAAAATGTATTTCTGCCTCCGTTTGTAAATTTGTCTGTTTATCCTTTTAGTTCTTCAAATTTTAATTTTTGTATTTAAAGCTGTGTTACTGGGTGCATAAAAATTTAGGGTTGTTATTTCTTCCAGTTGGTAGCTTTATCATTATCATTTCTCTTTATCTCTGGTAATACTTCTTCAAGCTGTTTGTTTGAAATAGTAAGGAATCCTGGTGGCACAGTGGTTAAAGGGTTCAACTACTAACTGAAAGATTGACAGTTCAAACCCACCAACCTCTGTGGGAGGAAGATGTGGCAGTGTGCTTCCTTAAAGATTTACAGGCCTTAGAAATCTTATGGGCCAGTTCTACTCTGTCCTGTAGGGTCAGTATGAGTCAGAATTTACTTGATAGCAATGGATGTGTTTATTTAAAGCTTTCTTTTTTAGTGTTTGCCATGGTGTACCTTTCTCTATCATCTTACTTTTAATCTTTAGCAGTTGCCGTCAAGTTGATTACAACTCGTGGTGACCTTAGGTGTGTTAGAGTAGAACTGTCCTCCATAGAATTTTCAGTGACTTGATGTTTTTGGAAGTCTCCAGGCCTTTCTTCTGAGGCATTTCTGGGTGGACTTACACCACCAGCCAAGCACATTTACTGTTTGTACCACCTAGGAACTTTTTAACCTTTATGTGACCTTATAAATTGTACCTCATTAAGCAGCCTATATATTTTTTGCTAGTCTTGATCTTTTGCTTAGAATATTTAGTTCATTTATATTTGAGGTAATGACTGATATATTTGATTTTATGTTTATTTTATTATAGTTTATTTTCAACTTCTCCACATTTTATGCTTCTTTTTGTCTTCTTGCTTTTTCTCTATTATCAAAAAATGTTTATTGTATTATTTCTCTTGTTTTAGTTTATTTACATATACTTTTACTATTCTTTTAGTGGTTATCCTAGAGCAAGAGTTGACAAACTATTGCTTGCAGGCCAGAATCCAACTGCCCTGCTGTTTTTGTAAATATAATTTTATCAAAATACAGCCACAGCCATTGGTTAAGTATTTTGTATCACTGCTTTCATGATTGTGGCATAATTGAATAGTTGCACAGGGAGACAGTATCTGTGTGGCCTGCAAAACCTAAAATATTTGCTATATGGCCCTTTATAGAAGAAGTTTGTCAACCTCTGCCCTAGGGCAGTGGTTCTCAAACTTGACTATGTAACAGAATCACCTAGAGGGCTTGTTAAAACACAGATTGTAAGCCCCATCTGCATAGTTTTCTGATTCATTAGGTTTGTGTTGAAGCCAGGTGATGGATACTTAGATACTGGTTTAGGAAACACATTTTGAGGACTGCCACCCTAGAGGTTAAAGGAACTCTGGTCGTATAGTGGTTAAAGCATTCAACTGCTAACCAAAATCACTAGTTTGAACCCACCAGCTCCTCTGGGGGAGAAAGATGAGGCAGTCTGCTTCTATGAAGGTTTACAGCCTTGGAAACCTTTTGGGGCAGTTCTACTATGTCCAGTAGGGTCATTATGAGTCAAGTTCAACTCAGTGACAGTGGTTTGTCCCTAGAGGTTATAACTCTTATCTTGACTTACTAAATACTTAAATAAATTACTGTGTTGACCACTTCCTAATAATGCTAAGGGAGCTCTGGTGGCATAGTGCCTGAGGGATTTGACTGCTAACCAGAAGGCTGGCAGTTCAAACCCAAAAGTCACTCCTCAAAAGGAAGATTGGGCAGTCTACTTCCGTAGTGATACTGCCTCGGAAGCCCAAGGAGTGCTCACTATGAGTCGGATCCAACTTGACAACAGTGAGGTTTTTTTTTTTAAATAATGCTAAAAACCTTAGAATACTTTCACTTTATTTGCTTACCTCTTAGGAGCACTATTTTATAATAACCTCAAATTGAAACAACCCAAATGTCTATCCAGCGTAGAATGGATATTAACAAATTGTTTTACACTAAAAAATTATACAGCAGTGAAAATGAATGAATGTTTTAAACATTGAATGAAAAGAAGCTAGACAGTATAGTTAGTACATGTTGCATGAGTCTGTTTTAAGTTCAAATATGAGCAAAACCAACTATGTTAAAACTAGTTAGCTTTGGGTAGGAGAGAATAAATGGGGAGTCATGAGGGTGTTTGAACAATGCTGGTAATTATTATTAATCTGGATTCTGGTCACATCAGCATACCCATTTTGTAAAATTTCGTTTAGCTGTGTTATGATTTATGTACTTGTCTCTGGTCTATTTTGATAAAGTTAATAATTAATTTCCTAGTAGTTTGAGAATGTTAAGAGTTAATTTCTTTCTTTCTTTTTTTTAAATGGTAAGGAGGTTTACTCTTTCAATTCTTGTGTGTTGGAACTGGCAACTGATTTGGAAATGGAATACTGTTTCCATGGAAACTTCTGGCTACTCTCTGTTTCATTGCCTTTCTGTAGGTTTGTGTGTCTACACTGTCTCTCAGCTGCATTTTTATTTTTAAATCTTGGTGACAAAAAAGTTTATTTGGGATTGCATGGTGTTTTAAACAGAAACAGTCCATTTAAGACACAGATTTTAAGCCCATTATGTTGGCTCCCTAATAGAGGTGATATTAAAAAAAAAAATTATTATTATTTTTTTTTTACTAGAAGATACTTTTATTCCATATGAGTTATGCTATTTAAGAAAAACACTTGCTGAAATGGAATGTGGCTTTACATTAGGGTATCTGTGATTTTTTTTCCTCAATAAATGAAAGCATTAAAACTTCCTTGGTTTATTTCCTTTAAAAAATATTTAATAGTTGGATTCAAAGCATCCCTTTGGAGGGACAGTTTCAGTCCAGATAATTTAAGTATTTGCATAGGTAAAGGGAGCAGAAAGAAAAGATGAGATTCTGGCATATTGATCTGAAGCCTGTGGTAAAGCTGCTTCTCTGCCTCTCCCATCTTGTTTGTCATGGTTGGGTTGTTCAGGGTCCTAGAGAAAAACATCTTGTCACAAGAGTAAACTGCGTACATCTTGTGAGGTGTGTGTGTGTGTGTTTCATTTATACCCAAGGAAATTATAATAGTGTGGTCATTCATAAGTGTTGTAAAAGGAACTTTATTGAACATTGTAGAATCATTTCTGAAAATAAAAGTCAGTTTGGTTTCCATGGCCTAAATAAACAACAAATTGTAAGAGTTCAGAGTTAATTATACACAATAATGAGCACTGTGATATTCCATGCTTTACTGATGCAATAATAACCTACCTGCAGTATATTGCATAAAACCTTTTTTCTATCTATAAATATTCACATGAATTAAATAAAACAGATTTAAGTTTACAGACCTAACACTAGTATTTAATATCTTTTAAATTTTGATGTAGAATAAGGATTGTAACTGCATGGAGAATGTTTTAGATGCGTGAGGAATTTTTACCTTTCATCTGGCAGTAGCTGCCATAAGATGATGTCACCTTGTAGCTGATTGGCTCTTGCAGCACCTAGGGCAGGGAAGAGAAAGAAAAATGCCGGCACAAACCTCAGTGGTGGTTCTCTGGTTGTTTCTGTCTATTTTTGATAGAATCTTTGATTAGTATTGAATCTACTGTATTTGGCCATGTGAACTATTGGAAGCATCCTAGGGTGAGGGAAAATAAGAGCTTTCAGAGGAATGAGGCGACTGATTTGCAAACGGATCTGTGATTGTAAGTTGCACAATCTGGGTGTAAAGGAATAAGGCAGGGCGTGCTTGAAGATGCACTATGGGAGGAGCTGGCAGAAAATGCTTCCATGAGTAGCAAAAAAATGAAAAATGCTTTTCACTATCCTTAGAGTTAATATGTTTTGTTTTATGTTTTGACTTAATATATATGTAGATAGGAAATATGGTAATACTGCATTCTGATTTTAAATTACACAGGGTTATTTTATATGGTGCTACCTAATATATCAATGCTTATTCAAAGGAGCTTTATTTTGTATTATATGTCATTCCTAATAAATGATTTTATATATGGCTTTGATTTTTGAGTCTTAAGAAAAATAGAGCAAAGCTTAGTTCTCTTAAATACAATTTTGTAATGCTTTTTTGCAGATAAAAGCTTTGATGATGAAGAATCAGTGGATGGAAATAGGCCATCATCAGCTGCTTCAGCCTTCAAGGTTCCTGCACCTAAAACATCCGGAAATCCTGTCAACAGTGCAAGGAAGCCTAGTTCAGCAGGTGGCCCTAAGGTTGGAGGTAATGTGCATCCATTTCAGATCTCATGTGCATGGCCCATGCCCTTAATATGGCCACACATACTTAGAACTTCAGAAAAATATGTTTATTCATGACTGCAGCAAGATTGCAGATCTGGAGCCTCTCTTGCAACACACAGAAAAATGTACCTTTTTGAAAATATATCCTGTCAGAACATATGTGAATTTGTATTTTCTAGGGATTATGTCTTTTTCAGATGCTATTTTTAAAGGGAGAGATTTAAGTGAGTGGGTTTTGGTTTTGTCTTTTGTTGCTTTTTTTTTTTTTTTAAATAAAGTGTAGTGGAGGTTTCTCAGATTGTGCTGTTAATTTTAGGTGCCGTAGCTTTTGCAGAAATGTTGGATTATGTTATATTTTTACACATTCATCTAAGTAGTGAGTCTTAAATATTCCAACATTGAAAAATGGTTGAATACACTGGATATGGAATCATATTTGCCACAGTAGGAGATGGGTGGTGGTCAAGTAAAATTGCTTCAAAAATTGTTTCTGGTTAATACTTAATAGGAAAAAAGCAAGTTTTATGCAATTATATAGGACACAGTTTGTTTTTCCATCATAGAAAACCTTTTTTTCCCTAGCATATTGTTTATATTTTTCTAAAATTTTAATGTTTCTTTTTTCTCTCCCTGTATACTAGTTTGAAAGCCATGAGTGCATTTCAGTTGTTAGTTTTCTGTTGTTGGGTTTCTCTGATGGAATGAAACCTATAAAAATAAAGGTACACATTTAATGCTACAAGGACAGTAGTCTGTTTCTTCTTTTCTTTTGTTTTAAAATTACGTTTTAGCTATGATAATTGGGAGAACAGATTTTTCTCCTTGTTGACTGTAAGTGGTAGGAAAGTCATGGTCTTCATAGTTTTTATTTTTCCTCTTTTGGTCTTCAGTTTTTTAAGTAAAAAAAAGAAAAAGGAAATAAAATGGACTATAAATTTTGGCCAGGTTCTATGAGGACTTGTGTCCCCCTGCTCTTTCTATACAGTCAAACGTTATTTTCCAGATTATATATTCTAATTATAGGAAAACCATCTTAAATATTTTATCTGTCTTTACTTATATGCCATATAACTAGCAAGATAGTATGATATTTGTGTGTAGAGTGTATGTGTGTGTATGCATATAAATAAATAATTAACATACTGTGAAATAAAACTCTCTTACTTATTTCTCTGGATATTTTGAGTAATGGTTTTGAATTTTAATTCTTTTCTTTATTTTTAAATTATAGTTATATATTCTCATCTAGATACTAGTTATATCCTATTACATGATATTTTGTATTAATCATTCTTACGTGACATTTTAAGATTTCTTTTGTAACAAATGACTACCTTCAGTGGGGTTTTTTTTTTTTTTTCTTGATTTTGGATTATAGATTCTAATCTCTGGTTTTATTATTTCACGAAATTGTCTTATTTCGTTTGAAATGGATAAACATTATAATACATAGTGATAATGTTTAACATTTTTGCTTATCTGGGCAGTGGTTTATAATGACCTGTATCTCATGCATTATTGCCTTTTCTTAGATGAAAATTGAGATTGTAGTTTACCAGAAGTCACTTAATTCTGATATTAATCAAATTGATACAATCAGATGTTATTTTTCAAAGAGGAGAGACTTTCTTAACACTTGATATTTCCCTCTCCACAAATTTTGTGGTTTATAGTCCTAGTAGGTATGAAAATGTTAGGTGACTTTCATCATTGTAGCCAATAATCAGATTATGTCATTAGCATCTAGGCAGCACTTCTTTTGAGAAAAATAAGGGAGAGACCTTCCTTTCTTTATTCTTCATCTTTTTTTCATGCGTCAGTTACAGATTCTTTTTCTTTTTTCCCCTTCATTTGCCACACCTCATTTATGTTTGGTGCCCATTTTTCTATACAGGAAAGAGCTTCTAGCCAGAAGATAATTTATACTTCTTTTTAAATTAATGCCATTCTTGTCTATAAGGCCTTCTTTGAAAATTAACTTTAGATTTTCTGGTCTTGATTTTTAAACTAGTTATAAAAAAGTTTTCTTAAGAGCTGTAGAATCTTTAAGTTGGAAGAGACTTTGTGAGTCATATAGTTCAATTTACTATTAAAGTATAGCATTAATTCTCATAATATTCTTGATAAATGAATCAGCATTTGATTAAAGGAATATATGATCATGGATTAAAATTCATAATAAAATTCAACTCTCATACCACTGCATCTAGACATAATTAATAAATTAGGATGTACTGTTTTCTAATTACTTCTATACTTTTTCCTTTTTGGCTATACAAATATTTTCTTTGACAAAATTGACACCATTGATCATATAGTTACGTATACCTCTTTCTTATTAATATTTTTACCCTGAGCATTTTTTCATTATCTTAAATTGCTAATTTTTAAATATGCTTATGGCTAAATAATACCAAGGTTGCTTATAGTGTGTAGTTGCTTTCATAAACTATGGCATTATTCTTGTATCTTTTGGTGCATCTCCAGTAATTTCCTTGGAATAAATTTCTAAAATTCACCGGATCAAAGGTGTAAGTATTTTTAAGGGCTGTTTTAATTTGGCCCCATGTCCTCCAGAAAGTTAAAAGCTTATCCCAGTTCTGGATATATTAATTTTTTTCTGTATTGTATTAAAACCTGCTCCCTTGTAACTTTTTTTAGGGAGGATGAAATTATTTCTTAACATGATACTTCCTAATGCTTGAAAATTTTTCCATCTTTCCTTATATAGCTTCTGTTGTATATATATGTATGTATGTATGATGTATATCCATCCCATAAACTTATATGGAATGATGATAATTCAGTCACAACATTTTATTTACTACTCCAAAGTCTATAATAAGCCATGAGATATGATTAGTTGCTAGTTAAAGGCATATAGTAATGGAGGTGAAACCAGTCACAGTCTGGTGACTTTATAACATCCTTTCCCCTACCCAAAGTGAACTTCTTAGGAATCATGGCTGGATATGCTTTTGAAGTTTAAAGTTTAATTTACTTCTTCCAGATATATATGTCAATATTAAAGAGATGTATGCTATTTTTAGCAAAGTGTCCTATCCAGTTAATTAAGGCTAATAAGACATGTATTTAATCTTTAGTGTGTGTTTTGTTTTTAGCTTCAGTGTGCTAACCTATTAAACTTATGCTGTAATTGTATGACTTTTAAGCCAAAAATTGAAAAATATATCAATGCTGTGAAAACCTATATTATGTGATGTCAAAAGTGTTACCTTTATGCTTTACTACTTAGGATAGGGATAAAACGAATTCTCTTATTAGTCTATTTTATGAATAACACTTGAAAATTCATAATAGAACCTTAAAGAACATTTCCTCTTCTTTTAATGATTTGGTGCCTGATATTAAAAAAAAAAAATGCTCCTACCACTGTAGTATTTTAAGTAACAATTTTAAAAAGTTACTGCATTTTCTTAAATACATTCTCTCCTTTAAACCTCAAAAGCCCTGTCTTAGGTACTTTATTCTCCTAATTTTACTGAGGAGCAAACTTAAATTTGTAGTTTAGTAACTTGCAAGGTTCACACATCTAGTAAGAGGGAAGAATACAAAAAGTGCTTTGGTACTGCCACTCACACTAATCTTGCTGGATAAATAAAGATTTTTCTAGATTTTATAAATCTGAGATTATATCTATAGTAGTGACCACTACATTTCTGTACCCATAAATCAGTCATTTTAAAGTTCAGCTAATACTAGTCCCAGCAAAATAGAGTATATAAAAATAAGAAAACCTGTTATTTTTACATTGTAAATAGCAATACTTTTAAATATTTTCTTGTTGAAACTGTCTTCTTAAAAGTTTTCTTTTCTGAGTTACAGTTTCCCTATGGCTGTACTAATTATTTTGGCTACTATTCTTTCTTTTCTTTTTTGTTTTAAATGTGGATTGAGTTAGGTGGTCATATAAACAACATTGCTTATAATTAGCATCAGGTTTGGAGGTTAGTGATTTGTGACTGAAGTTTGTATGTAATCATTGAGATACATCATTGACCTAATCATTGATTCTCAAAGTTCTGTTATGCTCACTCACGCATTCATTCAGGTGCATAGGGTCTTTTCTTCCTGTAGCACCCATCTTATAGGAAAAGACCACTTTGTAATAGTTTTACTTTTCAGTTCTCATAATTAGGTAATTGGAATCTTTTCAAATTCAGTAATAATTCTTTAGAATATTTTATATTGGTTTCCTTCATTTGTGTCTGACTTGAGATTTTATTAAGAATGTCTAAATTTATCTATTTACCACAAATAATATTAGTTTTGTTTTTTTCTCATCATGGAAACGTCAAAGTATTTTTGGTTTTTGGTTGTTTTTTTTAATAAGAAATAAAGGTCATGAGAGTCTCTGTGTATTTAATAAAACAAACCACAAAATTTGTTATTTAATCCTGGAATTCAAATTTTCTGTGTTTTACCTGATGGACCTCAATTTCCTTTTTTGAACTTTATATAAAGCCAATTAACTTTTGCATTTCTGTGTTTTGTTTTTCTTTATTTCTTTCCTCCCTCTTTTCTTCCACTACTGACAGGGATAGAAACTAAACACAGAGGATTTTAGCCCTGAAGTTTCTTAAAGATGGCCTGTCCCATATTCAGTTGAAGAGACTGAGCCTCAGAGAGTTAAATCATGTGCCCTAGGTCAGATAGGAGCTCTGGTAGCATAGTGGCTAAAGAACTTGACTGCTAACCAGAAGGCTGGCGGTTCAAACCCACCAGCCACTCCTCGGAAGGAAGGTTGGGCAATCCTACTTCCGTAGTGATACTGTCTTGGAAACCCAAGGAGGGGTCGCTATGAGTCGGGGCTGACTCGACGGCACATAACAAACAAAGCAAACAAGGTCAGATAGTTAGTTATTAGTTTGGCCTACTGTCAAGGACTTCCTCTTGGATCATCTCTGGGTCATTTCCTGAGTAATAGTGCTTGTTGTACATATTTCCTTTTTTTTCTTC